AATACAGCATCGAATGTGTTATTTGCGGCCACAATAATCTTACTAAATTAAAATAAAACAAATAATTATTATGATCATAATACCTATTATGATTATATTCAGCGTCGAAAATTCACTTTTTTATCGATATAAACTTGAATTTTTTTTGCATTACCTTTTGAATAAAATGAAAAAATGCAAGTCAATTTTTCTGAAAAGTTTACAATTTTTCCGTTTTTATTCACACGCTCAATTTTTCCGGAAATTTTAATTTGCCGATGCTCTTTTGTTTTTTTATTTTTGTCTGAAAGATATTTTATTTAAAACTTGGACTTTCAATATTTTTGATTAGACACAAAATAATTAAATAGAGATTTAAAAGGGGTGTTCTCTTTATTTGAAAAAGCCTGTACTATTTTTGATTGTATCCAATATTCGAAATTCCTAACGTTAGGTTTTTGAGAAATTCTGACACTAAAGTGTTAATATTTATGATAAACTTTTGAGAGAAGTAGAATTCGGATTTTGAACGTATAAAATTTTGGAAGAAATACCTAATGACTGGTCTCCGTTAAAAAATGTACATTTGCTATTTAAAATAACTTAAAAAAAAATAATAAGAAAAACCGTCAGATAATGTACCTACACGTATACAATTAGAAAAAAATTATATTTGAGATAAAATAATCCAATAAAACGTCTCAACGTAGGTACAAATTTGGAAATTTAAAAAAAAATCACCCTTTGAATCAAATTAAAAAATGCAAAAGTCAATTTTTCGAAAAAATCTGGAGATCTTATAAGATTAGTAATATTGCTATTTTTTTAGTAAAAATTTAGTAAATTTAGCATTATATTTAACAGTGTAGGTAGGTAATGTAGGTAAAGTGCCTCAAGGATCAAACCTTGATCCACTTCTTTTGTTATTGTTTGCTAAGGACCATGGTTGTTGTGTTGTTGTTATGAAAAATAGTAAGCATACCAAAATATATAAAATCCAATTTTATCATCGAACATACCAGATAGTACACTGTAATGGAAAAATACGAAAATAGTCATAATAATGATTTACATAAGTTATAAATATTGAATGTAAAGAAAAGCTGTATCTACTTACCTTTTCATTTCCTTTACTTGTTCAGATATAATTTGTGGATTCTGCAATTTATACTGTGCAAAAAAGGGTCATTTTTTTATTTACATTAAACAATCAGTTACTTTAATATAGCTATTTATACGAGTATAACCTATAAGTAATTATAATTCGGAGCCCACTATTTTCGAAAAATATTTGCTGATCAAAATTTTAGATTCCTTCCACGTATTTACCTAAAATCGGTTATTGGGAATTTAGCTTTATTTCTCTAAAATACTTGATTACTTGAGTACTTGTTACAAAAATAACTATTTTCGGTCATAGCAAACTTTAATTTCATTGATGGAATAAGTACCACAAATATTAAGACCCTTATTTCTATAGTGATTTTTTTTTATTTAAATGGCAAATTTTCATCCAAATATTTAAAAAATACAATTTTCTGGATTATGTATTAAAATTTAGAACAGTATTCAAAATAAGAAGCAAAAATAATAATAATAAATTAAGTAATCTGGTAAATATTTAATAAACAAAATTAAACGTATTAAAATAATTTGTTTTGCTGTTTTATTTGATATAAAACAATAAAATAACAATTAATCCTGCTATATATTTATCCGCTTGTTTGTTCGAGTATATAAAAAAAAACAATCAAACAAAAATATTTAATTTGCGATCCTCACAATGCCGGTTAAAATGCTTACTTTTGCCGTCGCTTTTTATTTAATAGCGTAACGCAGTCGGCTCGGGCGAGAACCGCGTATAAATACGTAAAGCCTTCCCGGCAAACCAGGACTCGTAACAATATCGACCGGAATAAAAAGCTGTTATGAAAATAAAAGTATAAGTCAACAAATTAAAGTGTTTGTGGAACGATGAACAAATCATTAAAACGGAAAAGAAACCTCAAACAATGAGATAAAAATGATAACCGTAAAAACGTTTACTCACTTATATATAACGTTGTACTTTGACTCAAAAGGAATAGCAAATTGGGCTGACAATGAAAAGGATTTTCGGTTTTCTCTTCATAGGAAGAAGGGCTTTATTTTCGGTTATTCGAGCCGGCTTAGGATGACCATTAAAAAGCCGCTGAATGGACCACTCGACAACCTACTTCATATATCTTTATAATCGAAATAAAGGCGTTAATAAACCACCTAGAAAGACCATAAATATTCATTTGAAATTTTAGCGTAAACAGTAGAAAAATATTTGTTAATTTTAACCAAATATTAACCAGATTTTATGTTAATCCAGGTCCACATAACCTTATATTAAGTTTACAACCAACTGTAATATGTTAACTAATTGAATACGTAGTTTGTAATTATAAAAAATATTTTGTAGATTTAATGACAAAATCATATATGAATAATTTAACCGTAATTCTTATAATTTACAAACCTTTTTGTTAACTCAGTAACAAAAGTATTTGTTGAAAATTAAGAACTTAAATAAAAAGAATTTTGATAAGATGTGTTGCTTTATTAATCAATTTCCAAAAAAATGCCTGAAATCACGTGTACTTTTCTAACGAAATAATTTGTTAAACTTTAACAAAATTATCTGTAACCTTTAAAATTAACAAAATGCTTACAAAATTGCATATTAGTAATAATATATAATATTTATTTAACAAGGTAAGCAAGATTTTATTCGGCGATTTGATCTGGACCAAAATAAAGTTTTGTGAAAAACGTGCTTCAACTCAAACAATGTTCTTAGAAAAAGTACTGCTAAATAAATTTGTATTACTTATACTTCAACATTTGTTGTTGTAAAATTTTAACATACTTTTTGTAATTATTTTAATAAAGGGAAATATTTTATAAAAATTTATAAAGGTAATATATAAATATATATAATATGATATTACCTTTATAAAACTTTATAAAATATTTCCCTTTATTAAAATAATTACAAAAAGTATGTTAAAATTTTACAACAACAAATGTTGAAGTATAAGTAATACAAATTTATTTAGCAGTACTTTTTCTAAGAACATTGTTTGAGTTGAAGCACGTTTTTCACAAAACTTTATTTTGGTCCAGATCAAATCGCCGAATAAAATCTTGCTTACCTTGTTAAATAAATATTTAGGAAGGTCAAAATAAATATTTTATTCCGTGGCCCAAAAGGGTCAAACAGTGTTAATATTAGCACTTTAAGAGATTAGGAAAATCCATTGGAAATTCAAGTTTGCTGGAAAGTCCGCTTGTTCTTTTAAATATAAATTAAAATACAGAATGAAATCAATTTTGGACAAAGCAACAAAAAAATTATTAAAAGCACAAAGAAAGGTTAGAAAAATATGACAGATCAGAATCATAACCAATTAATGGCCCATAATTTTTATTATGTTCCTGACATTTTCAATCACTTCTGTGTAAGTTTTGACGACAATAAAGTTTAATTTATAGACCCCTTGAGGATAAAGTTATTTTTTTCTTGCGCAAAATTATGGCAAGCATTTGCGTTTTATACGATGCAGATTTTTTTTACAAATTTAATACTACCAACTGCAAAATAAATACCAAAATCGCAATGTAATTTATAATTGGACTATATTTTTAAAAATTTAACTAAATCTAGTATACTTACTTATAAAATTCTAAGATAAAATAAGACGTTTTTTTAATTAGAAAATTCGCCCCTGTGTATAGTTTTTTCTTATTAAAAAAAGGTATTCTATGTTTTTACTTATACTTTGTCAAATATTAATGCATGAATAAAACAATGTTTTTTTAAATGAACAAAAAAAGTTGTTTTTAGTTTGTAGTACTCGTCATTTCCATGGATTTGTATGATTAACAGAACTCCAAAAACTTCAAAAGTTATAAGGCAAAATTTGGTAAAAAATCATTTTTTTAGGTATTACACGAACTAGTTTTGTTACTCTATCTTATACAGAGTGTTCACAAATTAGTCAAAATTTATAAAAAAAATAATGGAAACATTAATTTAATTAGAGGCAGAGGGCCATGGAAATGACATATGACAATTTTTTCTTCAATGTACCTACTACCAACTATTTTTTTTAATCGTTTTTTTTTAATAAATAACGAATTCACACATTTCACTGCCGAGGCGATAGCCAAGGCTATAGATTGTGTGCGAGGCAATTAATAAGCTTTTGGATTCTGTCACATCATTTTTAGGTAAGGTTCAACTCACAAAATGAGATTAGTTTTAAAATGTATTTATAAAACATTCATATGCTATAGCATCCTAGGCAAGTTTGTCTAATAACAAAAATAAAAGTTTTATTTGTATGACGTTACTATTTTTACTTACCCCTTTGTGACTTTATTCTTGTAGATACATACTTATATGATGGAAATTAAAAAATCAAGATTTAAAGAGATCTGAACATTTATTTAGTTATTTATGACAAATCCGTCAATATACATACATATACATTTTCTATTATTTACAAATTTTGGTTCATATAGTTGCACATAATATTAAAAAAAACTGTTTTTGTTTAAATATCCTAAGTACATTTTTCAAATATTGGATAAAATATATTTGAAACATCACAAAATGTTTAATAGAACATTATGCCTTCTGTTAATAAAAATTTGTACATTTATACAATATAAACTTAACAGTATTCATTTTCGATAAAAAGCGGTACGATACATGATAATATCGAGGAATAGCAAAAAAATAAATTAATATTTAATATTCAGACAAAATACAGATCGCGATTTAGAGATTATCGGAAGAAAATCGATTGGGTTCCTCTCTCTAGACTTACAAAACTATGTAGATACACCTAATTTGTGTGTGTAGCAAAGAACGAATGAAAAATAAAACTATATTACACTGCACAAAATAGTCAAATAACAATGGCTGCAAGAAGAATCTATGTACAAAATTTCGAGAAATTGTTGTTGCCTTAGGCGAGGGGGTATTGTCACAAGGTCGTGGTGCCCGTGGGGTGGTACAGCGAGGGGCTGTTGTAATAATCGTTGCCTATCGACGTGGAGTGTATCGAGTTGGGCAGCGGGCTCAGCGTCTGGTATCCGTAGCCCATGTCCGTCGGATACATCTTGATGTCCGTTTTGCTTTCCGCGGGCAGCAACCTGGTGATCGAGAACGGGTGGTTCGAAGGAGTGTACCCCACGGCGGGTTCCTGCTTCAAATGGTGGTTCATGGACCCGTGGTGCAACATCGCCTGGTGCTCGTTGGACAACAAGTGGTTATTCCTGTTCAGCATCGCGGAAAGTTGATCCTCGTGCGACATGCTTTGGGCATGGTGGTTGTGCATGTTGTGCAGATCGAACAACCATTTTCGAAAATGTTTCCGGATGTAAACTCCAGAACAAACCTCTGCCGTTCTTATCAGTATTAATATGAAGTCGTTCTAAAAAAACATTATACGCTTGAAAAAACAAACATATAACTTACCTAACTAGGAATTTTAAAATGGATAAGAGCATCCTAGACAAGTTTGTCTAATAACAAAAATAAAAGTTTTATTTGGATGACGTTTATATTTTTACTTACCTTTGTGACTTTATTCTTGTAGATACATACTTATATGATGGAAATTAAAAAATCAAGATTTAAAGAGATCTGAACATTTATTTAGTTATTTATGACAAATCCGTCAATATACATACATATACATTTTCTATTATTTACAAATTTTGGTTCATATAGTTGCACATAATATTAAAAAAACTGTTTTTGTTTAAATATCCTAAGTACATTTTTCAAATATGGGATAAAATATATTTGAAACATCACAAAATGTTTAATAGAACATTATGCCTTCTGTTAATAAAAATTTGTACATTTATACAATATAAACTTAACAGTATTCATTTTCGATAAAAAGCGGTACGATACATGATAATATCGAGGAATAGCAAAAAAATAAATTAATATTTAATATTCAGACAAAATACAGATCGCGATTTAGAGATTATCGGAAGAAAATCGATTGGGTTCCTCTCTCTAGACTTACAAAACTATGTAGATACACCTAATTTGTGTGTGTTGCAAAGAACAAATGAAAAATAAAAACTATATTACACTGCACAAAATAGTCAATAACAATGGCTGCAAGAAGAATCTATGTACAAAATTTCGAGAAATTGTTGTTGCCTTAGGCGAGGGGGTATTGTCACAAGGTGGTGGTGCCCGTGGGGTGGTACAGCGAGGGGCTGTTGTAATAATCGTTGCCTATCGACGTGGAGTGTATCGAGTTGGGCAGCGGGCTCAGCGTCTGGTATCCGTAGCCCATATCCGTCGGATACATCTTGATGTCCGTTTTGCTTTCCGCGGGCAGCAACCTGGTGATCGAGAACGGGTGGTTCGAAGGGGTGTAACCAACTGCGGGTTCCTGCTTCAAATGGTGGTTCATACTACCGTGGTGAAGCATCGCCTGGTGCTCGTTGGATAGCAAGTGGTTATTCCTGTTCAGCATCGCGGAAAGTTGATCCTCGTGCGACATGCTTTGGGCATGGTGATTGTGCATGTTGTGCAGATCGTTGGAGTGCAGAAGATTCAGCTGATCCACGTCCAATTTCGACGAGTGCATGTTCAGCATGTTGTTCAAGTTGTCGGTCTTGTCCAGGTGGTGAGATTTATCGTCGGGATGGTGCAACGGGGTCTTCTTGCCCGAGCTGTTGCTGTTGTCTATGCTGTGAGACGGGCTTTTGTGCGAAGATCTCACAGGCTCCTTCTTGTCGTCCTTAAAGCGTTTCTGCCGCCTCAGATAACAACCGTTTTCGAACATGTTTCCGGATTCCGGATGCAAACTCCAGAAGGAACCTTTGCCGGGCTTGTCGGGCGTTCGGGGCACCTTGACGAAGCAATCGTTGAACGAGAGGGAGTGACGGATCGAATTTTGCCACCTCTGTTGGTTCTGTCGGTAGAACGGGAACAAATCCATGATGAACTGGTATATCTCCGATAGGGTGAGCATTTTCTGCGGGCTATTCTGGATGGCCATCGTGATGAGGGAAATGTAGGAGTAAGGCGGTTTCGCGTGGGTGTAGGACCTTCTGTAGGATTTATCCGCGCGGGCCCTTTGCAAAGCCGTGTTGGGCGAGGTGTCGCCGCCGCCTAAATCTCCTCGGCCGCCTATGTAGCTTTGGTGGGTGTTGAGGGACATGGAGCCTGGGCCCATGCAAGCGCCCATATTCGAGACGGGAGATCCGATGGTCGTGTAGCCGCCCAGCTGGGTGGACTCCTGGATCTGCGACATGCGGCACTGCGCCGTCATCCCGGACCCCAGCATGCCACCTGGGGCGAACATCGAGGAGGCCTGCGAAGAGCCCGTGATGGGGGCCATGGAAACGCAGGACATGGAGTTCATGTAACTCGAGGTCATCGGGGACATGCCGTTCGCGGATGTCGACATCGAGCCGACGTCGGGATATATTTTCTGCGAAATCATCTTAAAACATTGCACGAACTATTGCACGGAATTTTATCGAGCACTGCCTTCCAGACAAAACACTAAGTTTATACACACTTGTTGTTATTCAAACCAATCAATTTGATCTTAACTCGTCATCGGAGGTTTTGTTTCATTGTTTACATCACGAGCAGATCCACAAACAAGTTAACACTTTAGGTATTCCAAACCAGCACTGATTGGAAAAACAAATACTCCTCGCAGCCTGTTTACTTAGATACTACAAGCTGATGTGAAGTACCCAGAGCTTTAGGTAGTCAAATACGAAATCGTCAGGGGAGGGTGATCGCCATAGCAACGTTGTCGCGAATCACAACGCTTTAACCGGGTTGCCATGACGACGTGCGCTCCAAACAGCCCTGCCATTGGCCGCAGCGTTATCAATCTCATGGTGACTTTCAGGGGAAGCGACTGGCCCCTCCCAACGCGTCCCTCTCGTGCGCCGCCTGCGTGATCCGCACGAACTAAAAATTTACACTACGCGTCCTACAAACTGTTTCAATTCCAGACAAGTTCAGTTGTCAGTTTTGATTTTTTTAATTCATCAAGAAAATAATAAAAAAAACAGTGTTTCATTTATGTATTTATCCATTGTGTTTTATTCACCCCGTCCATCGGACCAAACCAGGTAAATAGGATTTTGTTTTGAAATTCTGTTGAAACTCGACTATAAATAAATGTGACGTAGGCAAATGTATAAAAAGTAACAACAATATTTTTGATAAAAAAGAATGAAATATTTCAATATATATATATAATTGAAAAAACTGCACATGCAATTTTTTAAATAAAAAAATATTCCAAAAATTATAAAAGATTTGTTTTTGCTATGATTTAAATTTATTTTATCTTCATAGAGCTGTAGTCCTTACACTATTTTTTTTAAATAATGCCATGTTCTATAATTAGGCATAATAGTATATTGTGTAACAAGTGAAAAAAATAGTCATATATTATATCACGAGAACTATGAATTTAATCTTAACCGATCTAGGCTAGGCTCAGTAGTTTTTTGTTTGGTTTTTCTTGGAAAATGTTGAATGCAAAATAATTTAATAAAATAACGAGACCGCGTAGCGGTCGAGGGGTTTTATTTTTAATTATTTTGCATGAAACTATTTTCCAAAAAGAAAAATCAAATAAAAAACTTACTGAGCATAGTTTGACAGATTAAATTTATAGGTTGAGTGATATACGTCTAGATTATTTCTCGAATTAAAGGAAACTATTTGACAATTCATAAAATCTGACGTATGTGTCAAAATTTATAAAATATTTTTATAAAATTCCATTAATTTAAGGTATGTAATAAGAAATAATTGATATTTCGTAAACTAGATAACTTATTTTTTATTGTTTTTTAAAAAATGTTTGTTAAAACTTGTAAATAACACCATAAAAATCGTAAACAAAAATCCAATATGGAGGCTAAAATTTAATCGCTGTTAAATAGTTCTAGTGATTTAATCGCTTATTTAAACGAAATTTATTCGAAAATTCAAGGCTTTTGATTGGTTCATATTATAATAAGGGAAATAATCATTATAAACGACCGTTCTTTATCTACGAGTTTTATTTATGTATATCTAATTTAATTTTAAATCTCAAATTCCAAAAAAAAATAAGAAACACGACTTATGACTTAATCATAAATAATTTGTTTGACAACAATTGGCGTTGTTTGGGTGATTTGAAATTGTCATCAAAATATTGACCAAACCAATTAGATAAAACTTTGATAATAATGATGCAAACAAAGGAAATCATTCTTTTTGTAAGTAAATACACAAATCATTTTCTCTATTATCAGACCTAATGACTAAGTAAGCAAATAGTAAATTAAAGAGAAGTAAAAATTTTACAAAACATAATTTTAATCCCATTTATTATACGATGTTTATAAGTATTTTGCTAATTGCTTTATTGGACTTAGATACAACTTTAACCATTTTAATTTTGGCAATTCCTTAAAACTTAAAAATATCTTAAACACAATGGTTTAAGGTTATTAACTTATCAAGTGTATCTAGGTACGTGTTTTATTATTTAATTATTAAAAATCTAATTCGAGATATGATAAACAATGGTGTCATTGCATTACTTACTTACTTAACTATGATTAACATGGCTATTGTTACAGTGCCGGTTTAAGTTAGTTCGCCGCCCGGTTCTGGCAAAAACACAACGCCCAATGCTTTAAAATATAACTTTTTTAAAAACATTTTTAAATTTTTAAGTTTTACTTTCTCACGTCAAGTGGAAGATTAGGTTGGTTAGGCTGGTATCTAACAGTAAACTTAAGTTACTTAAGTTACTTAAGTACTAATTAGTATCCTATAAAATATAAAATGAGCCTTTATAAACAAATTATAAAAACTAATCAAAAGCACTAACTAAAAAATAAAACATTCTTTGGTTTATATATCCAAATCCTCCACGAAGATTTATGCTTTTAGATTAAACAAAAATTCAAATTTGTTTGAGCCAGATTTCTAGCTATCATATCGACAAATGATTTTGGATTATAGATTGTCAATTATTAAAATAAAACATATTGTTCGCATTGTTTCTTTTTTGCTTAAACTTGCCTCTGAGTTCTTTTCTTCAAATTGTAATTTTCTTATGATTATCCGCTTTTGAGCATAATTTTGTTTCCTGTTAATTTCCTCGTAATGATCAAAATGATATCACGTTAAAAATCAAAGTTCTCAAGTAAAAATATGAGGCGCCGTTTGCGTCAAAATTATTTTAGGCTTATATAGATAAAAAATTCCACACATACATGCGAAAATGCAAATATAAAGTTTTTTTTGGTACATATATAGAAATGCAAAAGTCTTAACAAATATAAAGTTTTGTTTTGGTACATATATAAAAATGCAAAAGTGCAGGTATAAATATAAAGTTTTGTTTTGGTACATATATAGAAATGCAAAAGTGCATGTACAAGGTTTCGTTTTGGTACACATATAGATATGCAAAGATGTGGGTACAAATATAGAATATAATATAATGTTATATAAAGTGTAGCATGGGCCGTTGGTACAAATATAAAAAGTAAGGTTTGGGACGGAGACACAAGATGGCGTTTTTAACACTTTCAACCGCGCTTAAGCGTACGTCTGTTCTTACTACCGGCATTTAAATTTTCTATTGTGTATTATAGATTAACTACTTTTAACGTTTGTTTGTTTTAATTAAAAGAAGTTTAGTTGAAAATAGGTAAGTTATAAACGCCGTTTTACTTTTTACTCTTACCTATTTTTTAACAAAACGATTCGTTTTAATTAAAACAAACAAACATTAAACTAGAAACTTAAATGCCGGTAGTAAGAACAGACGTACGTTTAAGCGCGGTTAAAAGTGTTGAAAACGCCATCTTGCGCCTCCGTCCCAAACCTTACTTTTTATATTTGTACCAACGGCCCATGCTACACTTTATATAACATTATATTATATTCTATATTTGTACCCACGTCTTTGCATATCTATATGTGTACCAAAACGAAACTTTGCACATGCACTTTTGCATTTCTATTTATGTACCAAAACGAAACTTTATATTTGTACCTGCACTTTTGCATTTTTATATATGTACCAAAACAAAACTTTATATTTGTACCTTTACTTTTGCATTTCTATATATTTACCAAAAAGAAACTTTATATTTGCATTTTCGCATATATGTGTGGAATTTTTATCTATATAAGCATACAATAATTTTGACGCAAACGGCGCCTCATATAAAAATGACAAAAGATGAGCATTTGTGCTTAAATCCATATTTTGTTTTTTGACTGCTTTATTGGTTTCATTAACCCTTTGCAAAACGTCTATCCAAAAAGTTCAAATTATTCCGTTTCCAATAAATCAAGTTTTTCTGATGGAGAAGCTGCTTTAACTCTAACAAAATTTTTCTCATTTGTATCCGTTGTATCCGCCGACGCAGTGTCGCAATAATTTTTTTTCTAAATTCTAACGATTAAGGTTTTTTTTAATTATGGGCGGTACGCGGTACCGCCCCAAAAATATTTACCGCCCGGTGCTATAGTCCCCAAAAAACCCCTGTTAAACCGGCACTGTATTGTTAGCATGTTAAATATTTTATACATACTTAATTAAAATGAAGATTTTTAAATTATGAAAACAAATTTCTATTTTAAAATATTAAGGTTAGTACGGTCGTCTTTTTTCAAAATTATTTGACAGCCCAGAGTCTAAGTTATGTAACTGACCTTTTGATTTCGCCGTAGTAGTGCAGTCAACTAGATTTAACTGATAAAGCGTTAAAAATTTTGCGTACACCGCCCAAAAAACATTATTTTCTCTTTTACTGTGAAAAACTACTTCTATATCGTTAGTCTATTTTCAAGGGATAAATTTTGATTTACACAGATAAATTTGAGACTTTACCGCCTGTAGATTCCCAAGTTAAAAATTTTAACGGGAATTCCAATAAATACAACTGTTTAATTAAAATAATAACGGGCAATGTTAATGGTGAATGGTTACTTTTTTGTCGCATTATACAAATATTTAATTTAATTAGTTCTTTAATATACTATTGTGACTAAAATGACGTTTATCAAACTTGATACATAATTTACTACACTCACAGGCAAAATAATCGATCCACACAAATTTTCGATGAATTTCAATCGCAAATAACTTTTTTATTTGATTTCGGATTTAAACAAATATTAAGGAATATTGAAGATACATTAATGGAGAATCGCTCACATTTTAAAAATTACTAAAAAATACACGTACGTTTATAATATACAGGTTTAAACAAAAATATGTTTTTTACCATAAGTTTAAAACACTATGTAGAGTGGCAAAACCGTATATTGTTCTAAATTAAGTTTTAATTATCAAGTCATATCTATTTTTAACAGTTTTGTTTTTGGTTCACCTTGATATATTTATTTTTGTGGAAAATATTGATTTAAAAAAAAACATTGCAATTTCCAATATTTTTCCTGTATGAAGAACTAAGGTTGCTATGGTCCATCCATAGCCTATGGAGGATGACAGTGACAGTTTTTTTGAATCATCTCATACTTGGACATGTCATATACATCTTTCAAAAGAAGACACCTCAAAATTTAAACATTAATTTGCAAAAACAATTTGATAGCTTTTGAAAGCCGTGTATGGCATGTCCAAGTATGGGATGATTCAACAAAACTGTCACTGTCATTCTCCATAGCCTATGGATGGACCATAGCAACCTTAGTTCTTCA